TGTCTCCCTGGGCTGATATTATCAAGGCCTCACTTCCTTGACAAATTGACCATGTTGAGATTTGAACGTAGGTCTCATAGTCAGGGCATGGAAACTGTACCATGTATTGATTCAAGACTTTGAAGTGAAATTAGATAGACAAAACTGAGCATACTGGCCTTGTTTTAACCACTTGAACACACTGATATATTATAGAAATTAGTTTGATGCCCAGAAACAAAAGCACATACAATGATAAAAATACTGCCCTTTAACAAAATTCCCTCAAGAACTGAATATTCTATCCACAAAATCTTAAACTGTGGTTAGAAAGGAGGTTGAAATGGAATGAAAGAATCTGGTGCCAAAATGTGACAGGCAGCTAAGTTGATCAACACACACACAAACACACACACATTATATATAATTATTATTTATAAAAAAATTATAACATAAGTATGTTATAAAATGACTACAAAAATAGCCATTTTGTTTCAACACACTCTGTGTCTTATCAAGTGGTGATGTTGAAAATAAAATAAACCTTTAGATTTATTTTATTTTCAACATCATCACTTAATAAGACACAGAGTGTGTTGAAACAAAATGGATATTTTTGTAGTGATTTTATAACATATTTATGTTATAATTTTTTTATAAATAATAATTATATCTGCTCTACTTTGTATTGAGCACTCTTTTAAGAATAGTAATTGTTGGTTATTGGAATTCATTCCGTATATACCAATTATATACTTGTGTATGTATATATATATATATATATATGGATTGATGTGAGTTTGTGATCCTGGGTTTCACACTCTTGTGATTGTCAGACAAACTGATTAATTTTCAAAATTTTAAATCTATTTTATGGTTATGTATGGGGGTGTTTGATGGTAATGGAAGGAAAAATTCTACTCTGTGTCTGTTTCAGGATGTCACTGATATTGAGCACTTTCTAATAAGTACTGTGCATATAAATATATATATATATATATATATATATATATATATATATATATATATATATATATATATACATACACACACACACATATATATATATATATATATAACTCCAGGTATGATTGATATACGTTGAAACACTACTGCAATTGTGTAGCAACTTTACATGTTTTTGTTATAATATCCTTATGTATATATATATATATATATATACACATACACAGAGAAAAATACTTTGATTAATAATCACACATGTAAGTTATATTCATGTCTATATCATTTATCAAAACAGATACATAGAATTAAATAAGTGCAGTTCCAAGTCAACCAATCAAAATCACTTTCATAATGTTCAAATGTACACTGCGACATGAAGGTGTAATATACAAAATGTTACATATAGATTAACCAAATAGCATTACTTATGTTAAGACTGACAGTGAGGCATTTGCTGTGGAGCCAAATGAAGCCAATTTTGATAATCCTATAAATTAGTCTTCATTGAATATTTCATGTGACGCATGATATATAGGTTTTCTAGAGAAGTGAAAAGAAGAGATATTTTCATATCAAACTTTGAATATACAGAGTCATTTTTATCTCACTCTACTCTTCCAGTAGACAGCTGATAGTTGGTTGATCTTTCTTATGTCAGCTCATAAAGAAGAAAAGTTTCTGGTCAACCAATCAATATTTTTGATGGTCAGTTGTACAATAAAAGAAATTCCATCCATTTGACAGTTAAAGAGTGTCTGTTATAGAATGAGGAATAGCAAGCTAGTCTCACAGACTATTCCCCAGTATAATGAGTTTGATCCTTGCTAGATTTGTGCCAGATTAAGATAAACTCACAAAAACATCTATTTTATCAAACCTGGATGGTTGACATGAGAGAAACAATTAGTTATGACCTCAGAAGTTTAAGTTCCAACCTGATGTCTGTATTATTCCAAAGATGTTTTTCTGAGTTTTCTGTTCCAAACAAGGAACCTTTAACAAATACAGACTAACTAGTAATAACCATGAAAATTTCATGGTTTTCCTATTTGAATTTTCTTATTAATCATAATTCTTAAGTTAATGATTTAATAAGCTTCTTGCAAGTTCCACTAGTCCTGGGTATGATGATAAACTACATCTGGCAGCAATGTCTCTGATCAGGAGTTGAAGGTTTTGAGGAGTGTGGAACCATCACTTAATTGATCCCAGACCCGGGATAGTAGCACCTGTTAGGGTCTCAGTTCTGGGTAAATAGTGACCACCCCCCAAACAAAAACAAAACATTACAAAAGCATAAAAATACATTTTCATAGCAAAATGACCAATATCTACTTATAGCAAAATGAGTAGCCATACATTTTATCTGTAGCTGAAGGCATACATTTGTATCCAAAATATATAACCCATAGAGGTGGATATGTCTCTAAACAAAATCAACTGAAACAAACATTATTGAATATTTGAGTTTAACCATTTTAACAAAATATTGTACTAACAAATATAAATGCAGGTCATTATTTAAATTATTAAGAGGGTACAAATGAAAACATTGAAAATTAACAAGGGTTTTCATTTAATTGAAACAGACATTAAACACACAAGAGTTATCTTTCTTTTCACTTCTTTTCTTTAAAACTAAACAGCTTATACATTTTTGTCTGTTTTCTGGGCAAGGAACTGGCAAGATTTTACAAATCTATCATTACAATCAAACAGAAATGGTCCATTGTTTATTTGAGGTAATGGCAGGGGATAACATAAGTGCTAATGAAGGAAAAAGTAGAATTATCATGTTCAAGTTTGTGAACTTCCTCTTGATTTTAATCATTATTTTCCAGTGTATGGTACTATCAAAGTGTGTTATCCTCTAAGGGAAATGTAAGGATTTTACTTTTTTTAAATTTTGGGTACAGAGATGCTCATGAATATTCACCAGGTTATCAGAAAAGTCAGACAAATTTATTGACCTGTATCCCCTTCGATATATGAACTTTCCTAACATTTTCCTAACCTGATGAATATTCATGAGAATCTATATATATATATATATATATATATATATATATATATATACACACACACACACACACACATACATACATACACACACAGACTTGTAAAATATAAAATACTGCTGAGATACAAATATCTTTTGACTAATATCTGCTATTCACTTTTAAACATTGTAACTAAAACTGAATGTTATGTTCATGTTGCAGGTGAAACTGCTTAACTTGTGGGGAAAAAAAATTGAAAGACCTATCACTTTGGGAAAGGCATGAAACCAAAGATACTCACTAATAAAAAAAAAAAAAAAAGAAAAGAATCTTACACACCAATCAGGATAACTCAGGTTAATCTTAGCAGAAGTTATAAAATAGAAAATTGGAGTGGGAATGACTTTAAAGTGTCACAGTCTTTAAATAATTTCATTGTAAAAGATGCTGGTGGGTGTGGGGAATGGTCAGTTCCTTGAACTGCACCAGAAAATACCCAACTCCTTTTTCCTTGCTTTATCTTTAAAAGAATCAGACTATAAATGAAGTACTGCTGTTGTTATATAGAATGCAGCTGCCCTATCCTCAACTTTCCAGCCTTGACAGTTCAAACTCTTTTATGTGACTTTATGAGGAATGACTTGTATTTCTCCCTACAACCCAATTTCCACACAGTCACTACTCTATTGCTACTTCCATGACAAATGCTCAGTCTAACTCCAATTCTTTAGCCCCCCCCTCACCAACTCAGACCCACCTTGTTATGTTCAAAGAGTTGAATCACCATCATTCCCTCCATATTCCATTGGCAAGAACAAAATTCCACCCAGACAGCTTCTTCCCCAAAACTGCTACTTTGTTGAATACACTCCCACAGGGATGTTTCCCTGAACACTACAATTTTAACCTCTTCACATTTAGGGTCAATTATTATCTATCCTACAAATCCTTATAATCTTCACCTTCTATTTCTTCCTATGATTATATCACATACTTCATTCAGTAACCGACCTTGAGTGGCTCTTGAGCCTTGTATTTTGCAAACTTTAGTAAAAGAAAAAAAAAACATTGTACAAGTGACCACTGGGAGGATGGAATAATCAGTGAAACATTTTACAAATTCCTCTAAAGAGGTAAGGCTACCAATTATTTTGCAGTTGGCAAGAGGTCACTTTGTATTTCATAATAAACTAAACAAGACTAAACAGCTATTCTCAGAAGTGGTGCTGAAAAGTCCTCGGCATAATTGACTTACCAAAACCCAACCAAATGAGCAAATCTTAGATTTTGGAGGGAAGTGGAGGGAGAGATTCTTGGTTAAGCTTGGAACTTTACATTAGTAACCAACCTATATTATTTTATGATAAGCTTTACTTCAGTTTATTATTGTCACTTTAAAAATCATTTCAGGTTCATAGAAACTCTTTAGAGACACACACTGTTATAAACAGGTGTGTACCATTACAGAGATAGCAAGAGATACACATACCAATCCATAACTCCTTTAGATATATACACAGGGAGACAATGTTATAAATAGGTGTGTCCAGAGAGAGAGAGAGAGAGAGAGGGAGGTGCACATATGTTAACACAAGTAAGAATATAAAACATTAAAATTCAAATATGTGCTTTCTTACTAAAGCAAATATACATGCATCTCTCTCTTATATATGTGTGTGTGTGTGTGTGTGTGTGTGTGTGTGTGTGTGAGAGAGAGAGAGAGAGAGAAAAAAAAGACAAAGAAAAGAAGAAAAGACAAAAGAAAAACTTTTCTTTACCAATGTTTTGATCCTTATCAAGGTAAGTGTGGGGGATTTTATTTCATAACTTGTAATTATACACAGAAGTAACAGAAAAATATTGTTAAGTTTTCAAATTTAAATTTGAAAATGCTCTAAAATATTCATAATAGTTTCTGTGTGTGCGCATATATATATATATATATATATATATATGAAATACAAATATATCTGTATATATAATCTTTTAAAGATAATTTATTTCATATATCAGATGCAAGAACTTGAGATCATTAAAGACATGTCAGTTGCTTACTTTGTTAATTGGAGCTTCCACGAGCACTGACTGCATTTTAGATAAGGACTCTCGTCGGCGATTAAATCCATGCACAGCACCTAAAAAAAAGAGAGAATAGTAAAGTAAAAATGAAAGAGACAAGACTAAATGAAATCAGACATGAGAAAATAATGAAGATGTTTGCCAGAAAAAGAACAGAGGTCTCAGCTGCATTTGCTTAAGGCAAAAGAAAAGCAAAACAAAGGAGAATTATATATACGCACATAAGCCTTCAATACAAATAACAATTACGGTATGTAAGAAACCATGTTATATAAGTAAAAAGACATAATTATCAAAAACATTCCCTATCTTATATATTTCTGTAAACCAACAATTTCTCTATTTTGGGAACCTATCACAGCTAGCATGATGAGAAAGGGTTCCAAGACTGTGAGCCATGATCATGACTTCGATAAGAGTGTTCTTGGAGTCATGTCAATAACCTTGTGGATGAAATATTAGTGAGTGATATTTACAAGAAAAAGAAAAAAAGATTCAAGCTTGGTATCTTACCAACAAAATAATTTCATCTGTCAGGAGGTATGAGCCACAGAAGTGCTACCAAAAATACACATGCAAAAACAAACAGAAATCTCTGATCTGAAGCTGATTTTCTTCTCTCAACCTAAGAAAGAATTGGTAAGTGAATTAAGCTGCAGCCTTGAGATAAACTGAAGTGCCAAAATATTTGAGACACTGGATGCTTCTTCCCTCCTCTATCACTCATTTATTAAAAAATGAACCCAATTGGATGATACATGTCATAATAGGTAAATAGGCAGTGTAGCTGTGAGTCTTTGTTTTAACAGGTAACATATTGTATTTTCTTGTGTATAATAAGAGAAATTTTGGATAAAAATTGGAGGCAAAAAGGGGGAGTCATATTATACACATGTACATGTTTTCAGAAATTTTGGCTCAGCTTAAAAATCCTCTTATTTCAAACAACAAGATTGTGAATACGCTCACAACAAATAACAAAAACCTGTTAATAACAGTTGTTTACAAAAGGCTTTATTAATATGTCCCAGCAATATTTTTTGCCCACAAGATAAAGTTTCTTTATATTTTGATTTTCTTGTTTTTCTTATAAAGTTTTTTCTTCATTCTTAATGAAAGAATACGTTTTTTTGTTTTCATAGTTTATTAATACTGTGGAACCTCAGTTCACAAATTTAATTCGTTCCTGAAGGTCATTTGTAACCCAAAATGTTCATAAACCGAAACTATTTTTCCAATCAATGTAGAGAAAAAAGTCACAGTACAATAAAATTGGAAAAGAAAAGCACGGCACAACACATGAATGTATACAACACAGCGGTCGACTCAACAATTAATCCATTCAGATTAACTCGGTTTGGTTACGTTGTTTGAGAACTGAAATTTTGTTTGATAACCGACATGTGACACAATTGAGAACTGAGGTTCCTCTGTATGTAGAAATATAAGAAAGTCATATCAAAGAGAAAAATGTGATAGATTAATTAACACCTTAAAATGTATTACTGAAGTATATCAAGTTAGCACTTCTCACTGAAAATAAGTTTTGAAACAAAGAAAAGAAACATACAATGGCTAAATATCTGGTTCATTTCTATTCACTAATATCATGAAAAATTAAATATTTTAGTGAAATATGTATATATATGTGTGAAATTTTAATGGATAATATAATACAATTAGTTATGTGCCATGTGTGATACATGCTTAGGTGATCATGTATCTTTCGATACATGACTGATGAGGCAGATTTTTTCCTGCAGTAGGTTGCCATTTCTTTCTGCGGTAGACCAGTTGCCATCCAAGGCTACAGAACCTGGTCTGTTCTGCTATTTACCCATATCTGGGGAGAAAAGAAGAGGATTCATACCTTTCCCAAGGGTATTAGTATGTAAGTGAATGTAATGGATTCGACTGGAATTCAAACTCGGCTCTCCAATTCCTCAATCCAAGCTGATATCCATTAGATGGGGATTAACTGTACTATGGGCTCATATTATACAGAAAAAAAATTAAGGTACATAGATCATGTTGCATACTATTTGCATCTCAATATGCTCACTGTGTTACCGAGAGGTGAAGGCTTGTTCTAGAAAGATAACACACACCTGGCAACCCTCATGTACCAGTGATATAAAACTGGTTTGAGGAACTCAGCAGAATTCCAGGTATTCCATTGCCCCCTGTACCCTTATAGAGTTAACCCTCACTGAGCACATATGGAACATGTTACAAATGTTCCCTGGAGACAATAGAGACAACTCAGTTATGAACAACCCTGGATCATTCTACACTGGGCAATTTCTGTTATTCAGGCAATTATAGGAGCTATATATTATCAAGTAGCTGTCTGATGTTTAACAATACAGCTTATAAGTCTGACATTGTGAGAAGATTTGTTAGGCATGCTTGTCAGTTAGAATGACATATGTAACAAAAATGACTATTTAAATGCATATATAATTATAGTGTGTAAAATTTGCTACATTTATAGGGGAAGAATGTGTAATATCAGAGATAGAGCCTTTGCAGATATAAATAGTGTGAACATAGATATCAAAACTGCTGACTGACTACAGTAGAATGAACTCTTCCTCCTCTCATAAATACTAACTGTGAGAGTCAGTTGGGGACCGTAGATGCAGTGTTAACCTACCGTTCGGATGTACACCTCTATCTGCTTATTACTAACACTCTTGCTTTGTATATATTTGTTATTTTCAATACACTTGTTCAGCCTGCCTTTGTCTTCCGTGTCTTTCATTCTGGCCCCCAAACAGGCCACAACACATTTCTATATACATACTTTATATCTCTCTTTGTGTGTGTGGAGGTAATGGGACAAAATGAAACACCTTTTTAAGTTTTTTTTGAGCATAAGAGTGGCAATAAATTATATTATCAGATATGACAATGAGAGACCAGAAAGTTTTATATATATATGTCCAAGTAAAATGAGAACAAATGGAGTATGATTCCACTGTATATAACATTTAACTTGAAAGAGGGCTCAATACATAGTAGAGTTAAATATTAGTTATTTTAGGATATTAAATGGTGAGACAGAGAAGTACTAGGAAGAGAAAAAAAGTCAAACAACTATGTCCTGACCCCAAAAAGAAGAGGTTTTGAGCAAAATTTCATGTGAAAATTAGCTCAGTGGGACGTGTTGGAATGGAATGTCCCACACTCCATATCGCCTATGTGGACTGACTATATCAGTAGATATATATATGAAGCACAGGCTATACCTGGTGGACTTGCTTGGGCAATTAGTTGGAGATTCATCTCCAGCTGTGCTGGTCAAACTCTCTGCCTTCGCTACACAATTACAATTATGTTTTGACACCATAAATGTGTCTCTTCAGACAATGTCATACTACTGGTGAATGCTTAGTTGCCAGTAGTTTAACATTGCCTGAATAGACACATTTATGGTGTTGAAACATAAGTGTAAATATGTAATTTTGACATGTGTATATATATATATATATATATATATATATATATATATATATATATATATATATATATACACACATACACACACACACACACACATACATACATACATACATACAGGGAGCAACACAAATGGTGTTACAAAATTTCAAATAAATTCTACTTCTAAATTTTTGGTCATTACATCGTTGTTTTTGGATTGATACAAGGCCAACAACATATACTATTTAATTTTTTCAAAGTTTTTAGTATTTACTGGCACCAATGTCTATAGATATTAAAAGAAAGTATATAATTGAGTAAATGGAGTGACTTCCACCTGAAATTTTTAAGTCTGGAAAACAACTTAGAATCAAAAGGTCAGTTAAACAATACAAGATTTCCTCAGTCAAAGATAAATTGAGAGCTGGATGTACTTGCACCTCCAGACTGTCAAAATTCAAACAGGTGCATGGAAAAATCAGGCATAATCCAAGAAGGTCAATGAGAAAATTAGGTAATGAAACTGGAACATCAGAGTGAACCATGTGGAGGTTATGTTGAAATGATCGAGGGATGACATCCTACATGATAATGAAGACAGTTTCTTTCAGTGGCCACAATGAAAAAAGAGGCTTCAAAGGAGCAAGCAGTTACTGAAATGAAATTGTGATGACACACTGCAAAACATCATCTTCACTGATCATAAACTGTTCAATGTTGAATGGATTTATAATCATCAGAATGACCGTGTTCTTTCAACAAGTTGTCAATCAGTTGCTGCCACTTCAGGAAAATGCCTTAGACACAGAAAGCAGCATCAATTATGGTTTGGGCAGCTATTTCAGAAAGAGGATAGTCTCCTCTTGTTTTTGTGTAAAGATCAACAAGGAAGTGTACACGGAGGACATCTTGAAAGGTGCACTCAAGCTGTAGTGCAATGTCACTTATGGTGATGAACATTGGCTACTTCAACAAGATGGAGAGACAAGCCAAACTGCTCATCTAACACAGGGGTGGTGCAGAGACCATTGCCCTGGCGTAATGACTAAGTATGAATGGCCTTCCTCATCACCAGATACCAATGCTCGACTTGTTTGTAGGCAGTTCTTGAGAGTCAGGCCTATTCTACTCTGCACCACAATATTGAAGCTCTGAAGGCAGAATTGAAGAGAGTATAGGGCAAATTACCTATGAAAACTGTGCATGATGCCATCAATGACTTTCCAGAAAGATTTTGACTTGTGGTGAAGGCTAAAGGGAACTATGTTGAATGAGTTTTTCTGGTGGTTCTTTACCAGATTAATACTTACTTTATGTTAAAATTTTAGGCTGATATAAATTTTTCAGGAGTTATGAGCTTTTCCTTTTCTAATAGTATTTATGCCACACCCTGTGTATATTAGAGCCACAGTTGAATTTTAAATCAAGCTACACCAAGTAGATCTGTTTTTTTTTCTCTGTTAGCTAGTATACCACATTGTGCTAATCTTGTTTTCGTAATGATTGATGATATTATGTATGTTCCTAATCTTAAGTTTATTAATGAGAATTATGAGATTAGCACCATCTCAAGGCATAGTCTTCTCAGTGAATCCTTTTCTCTCTTGATTGGACTGGCATTTAAAAGGTTGAAATTGTGGTAGGTTGTATTACAGTGAATAACTAGTGCATTTAAAGTGCTGTTATGCAGCATATCTCTGATGTTCATACATTCTATTTTTTAGGTTTTAGGTTGCTGGATATTTAACACCATTGGGTATTTTGTACAATCTACTTTGCCCCTGTCCTGTTGTTGTTATGTCATTTGATGCTAACTATATCTCTTATTGTTTTGGAGGTGGGGTTGATGGTTTTTTACGTTAAGGTTGAATAAGTTATTTCTGATGGTGACCATTATGGAATTGGTAGGCAGGATTATGTGCTTATTTTTGTTAAAATTATTGGGATTAATATCATTCGTGGATTTTTGTATTTTTCTCCTGTGAATGTTGTAGGCTTCATGTTCATGTTGCAAAAAAGCTTTTACACTTTGTCCCATTATCTCCATTTTTGTTTTGGATACTATTCTACTTCCTATCAACACACACACATATATATATATATATTTGTGTATTTAGACAGCAAATCCTCTTTTAGGCATGTCTGATTAAATAAATTAGAGACATTATGCCTGCTTATTTTTAATAAAATCCATTTATACTCACAGATAACCTTCCGTGTATTGCAATTAAATGATGTGGAAAATGTGCTATAACTATGAAGATGATCTCAGAAGGAGATTGAAAGTACTTGGGAAATGGAAAATAAAAACGATTTTCATAGTTATAGCACATTTCTCACATCATTTAATTGCAACACACAGTAGGTTATCTGTGAGTATGAACAGATTTTATTAAAAAATAAGCAGACATAATGTCTCTAATTTATTTAATCAGATATATATATATATATATATATATATATAAAATACAGGGTATTCAGACTAAATTTCTTTTTAAAGTGAAACAAAGTGAATATCTAAGCCAAAAAATAATTTATTGGAAAAATAGAAATGTGGCATACAGGTTATGATAATCAAAAGACAATTCACTCATAGAAACCAGCCTCACCATCTATCATGGCCTAAATCCAACTCTGGCACATGCAGCCTTCACAGTGACCCTAGAGAGAGCCTCAAATGCCTCCTTAACTGTGTCGATCAGCTAGGCTTTGGTGTCACAAATAGTGCAGTTAATGTCTTTTTTCAACTGTACCCTACACATAATAATCCAGGATTATAATCATGGGAGTTAGGGGGCCAGATATTGGGGGGCTGGTGAAATCATAAAAATTATCTGACAAAAAACTTCTGACCTTTCCTGGAGGTGTGTCAGGGAGCTGAATCTTGCTGCTACACATATGGTCTTCCAGCAGCTAGGCTCTCCAACCAATGATTGACCACAGTGTTCAGCAACTCCACATAGCCATCCAAATTGAGCCTGAGGCACTGTTCAAAGCTGTGAGGTGGCATGTCACACCCAAAAAACCATCATAATTTGGGAAAACTTAATCTTCATGACATGAGGAACGTCATGGATTGTAGGCAAGCCATCTGTTCTTCTGGGTATTGTACAGCTGATTCTGACAAAAATTAATTTCATGAGAGAAAAACCAGATTGTCCCTGGTTCAACAGGATGTTCCTTTGCCTTTGTCAGACAGTTTTTTCAAACCTTTTCTGTAAGAAGTCGACCTTGTATGATTGGTAGTGGGGGGGGGGGGTTGGCTCATTCAAGACCATCTTCATGGTAGAAATTGTAACACCCATTTCTTGTGCCAAAACCTGCATTCCCTTGCCTGGGTCTTCCATCACTTTCTTCTGCAGTTGTTGGTTGAATTCTGGTGTATGGAGGCAATCAGAATATCTGCTGTTTTCTTTAATATAAGCCATGACCTCGCAGTCTCCATTGCAGCTCTCCATTTCACATCTTATTATTGTCACGGTGTTCAAAGAACATTGAGCAGCTGTCATGATTGCAGCTTTCTAATGCTTGGCATGAATCATGATAATGTAGGTTAAACTTTTCTAATATTCAGGTGGCTTCCACTCATCCATGTCAGTTAACTTTGACATCTCTGAAACTGTAGTGATTAGGTTTCACACTGCAATTTATGGTTTACAGATATTCCAAAGCAATAAACTGTCAAATTTAGCCCAAACACCATATATATCTCCCAGCTAGAGGCAACTGGATGTCTAGCCACACTAATAAGCTGTTATAGAGCGAAACAGTCTGTGGACGACAATATATATGCTCCTGAAAAATCATTTCGGTTGAGCTCTCGGGGGAGAAAATGTGAGTTTGTAAATGGTGACTCCTACTGCTACTAATGCAATACTCTTTGATAAAATGAATCAGGTTCTCTCAGTCACTGGCGTGTTTATCTAGAAATAAATATGCTTAAATTCACCTTCATCCCTGTCGTGTGCCAATGATTTATGGGTAGATTTTCCAACTGATGCCAATTCAGCCGGGTTTCGACCCTAGCTAGAGGCAACTGAACATCTAGCCACAGTGATGAGCAAAACAATCTGTGGATGATCTATATATATATATATATATATATATATATATATAAAACAATACAAAATAGATACGTAAACAACACCGACATAATAATATCATTATATAAATAGTGTACATGGGTACTTGTAATTTTAATTCACAAAATATTACAATAATTTATGAGGATACAACATTGAGATTTTAATGCATAATATGGTACATCTTTTAAAAAAAAAAAATACATATAGATGGCTGTACTACAGGCTCACATTATACTCAAGGCTGTAATCTATTTCCTGTTTTTAGTTTCATAAACATGGAGTATAATTAGGCACAAGAGAATATAGTAAGTCCTCCACACAAAAGCTTATATAACAATGTGGTAAAGTATGATTGGTTAATTTGATAGATGTTTCACTTATGCAAATGACAACCCACTGGCTTGAGCTACTAGACATAACCTTAAATACACAATTTTGGAGAGGACATTAACAATATCTACTTACCATTGGCCAACTGACTACCATTAAAATCTGTGTCTCGCAAATGGTTCAAGAATAACCCATGGTTATTTTTAACTGACACATAATACATCACTTTTCTGCAAAAGAAAAAAAAAATGAACATATTTCATTGATTACTCATTTATAGACGAACATTGTTACGATATAAAACCAAAATCAATTAACATCAAAAGACAATGATTATTTTTATATTTTGATCCACTTCAATTTCCTTGGCTAGTTTTATTTAATAAAGAAAATCATTATTCTGGCAGTGAAACTAAAATCTGAAAAAATAATAAAAGTTCATTTTAGCTTTTCAATCAGATTTGTTATCAATACTTGGTTGAAATTCCTTGTCCACTAACCAAAAATTAATTTTTCTCCTTTATTTCTCAATGACCTTTTATAATTGAATTATTTGGGTTTTTCAGTATTTTTCTCAGACAAATATCCCATTGGGGTTTTCATTCCTTGATTTCATTATTTTGTTACATTTAGGCAATAAGTCTAGATTTTAACCATTTTTTAACTAAAAATTTCTAATTTGAAATGTCAGATTCTCTTGGGGCATTATCATGATTATTATTAATAATGCTACTTTTTATTATTCTAGAGTAATTTCATATCAAAGTTGATGCAAGCCTTTAAAATCAAATTCTTTTTTAAATACCAAGTGAATAAAAACACACACTCACAACTCTCTAAAATATTTTTGTCTATGTCATGTAGAACATAAAAATGATATTTGCCAAATTTTTTATGATTTCACTCCCAGTAAGGCAATAAAGCCACTATGATGCAAAGATTTACTGAAGGTGAAATAATGAGAAAAAGAAAAAACACTATTAAGGAGAGAATACAATAAAAGTACAGGAATTAAGAAGAGAGAACAAAATGATTGACATTACATTCAAATTTTTCAAGATCAAAGTTGATTGGAAAGCAAGAAGCTAATAAAGGATTCCACAAGCAAAAAGGTATAAGAGAAGAAACAGTTAGCATAGAACTTATGGTTACAGCTATCAATTTCAACTGTAAAATGTTGAAACCTAGATGCCAATCTAGGACTGTGCTTAAATTCATAACTTGAGGATTTTATAATTCTACCCAAATTTTTACTATTTCAAAACTTCTAGGTTAGTTTTATAGAGAATACCAATCAAATACCAATCAAATACCATCTTCCAGTAATCACAGTTTTTATAATCATATTTTCTGGCTTTCTGAAGAATTTTAAATCCAAAGATTCTTAATTTTGGTTTCCAACTTTTAAATAGTGACAAAACTGAAACATGCACACATGAAATGTAATGTGCATATATGTATATGTATATATATATATATATATATATATATATGAAAACAATATAAAATTTGACTACATCAGAACAATTTTGTGGGATATTTAATAACAAATGCGATAAAAAAAATGAAATTAAATGAAATTAGCTTGACCAAACACACAAAAAAAAATTAAATTAAAAATTTCAGCATTTCCTCCAATTAATGTGCATGTGCACTTACATCAAAGTAAACATTAATCTGATGAAGTCCTAAAGGGCAAAATGTGTCATATGAAAAGTTTTTCCCACTTATATATAATGTTTATATATATATATATATATATATGTATATAAATAAAATAATAATAATAATATCAAATCTGTAAGTAGAAAGGATAATCCAAGTAGGCGTTTTTAACATAAAATATTAAAAAGATAGATCCACAAAGTCAGCGCAATGTATTATATACAGAGCAATATGATATACATCAAAGGAAAAAACTGAACACATCATGAAAGATCAGATAATAAATTTATTTCAAAAGGTAAGTTTTAAATACCTCCCTCATCTGACCAGGATTTTTATAATCCCAGTCTGATGAGGCAGGTATTAAAAACTTACCTGTCAAAATAAATTTATTATCAGACCTTTCGAGATGTGTTGATTTTTTCCCCATATATATATATATATATATATTTTGAAATATATATTAGTTATTGAGTTGGCCAAAAAGTTTCTTTGGTTTATTAATTTCATACTGAAATGAATATACTTTTTGGTCAATCCAATATATATCACAGGAGAAAGAAATCTTTAAAATTAAAAAAAGAATTTTGAAAGTTCATCTGAAGGTACAATAGGTCTAAATTACTGAATACATTCTAATGAACACAAGTAAACATGCAACTTTAGCCTCCAGTTCAATAATCCATCTTATTTCATAATAATTCAGAAATTAGTTGTCAACTGGATGATAATTTAGTTCATTTCCCTGTCAATGACACGTGAGACTTTAAAGAAATTTCTATGCAAGAAATCTTCAACTTAAAAATGAGAGGCTTTTTAGCAACTGGAAAGCCATACAAACTTTAACAATATTCTAAAATAGAAAAAAGAAAAAAAAATATTGCAGAAATCATTTTTGATATATATATGATGAACACTGTTGAGAGGTCATTGATGGCACGCAACCAGCAACTGTTAAAGGATATTAACAAGAAATCTATTGATGAAATAATGTTGTGTTATCTGAAAGCAAATCATTGCAACTGGATTACCATAATATTTCACTTATGAATAATTAACACCGAGTCAGAATCAATAAAGACATGGCACAATACAGTGCTACTCACTAATGAATACACCCTTTCTTTTTTCTTTAAAAAAAAATTATTTTCTTCTAAACCAAATACAGTATGATTTTATTGTTTTAATGGAATATTACACAATCAAAACACCTTCTCAGATATTTATATATGTTTCTTTAAAGATGACTGACAAGGTACTGCAATTATTTAAATGTTACTTCCTTGTTATCTATACATTAAGCCTATATATATATATATATATATATATATATATATATATATATATATAGTAGTAGTAAGGTAATGAAGGGTTTGGTAATCTGTGTTTATAATTCCAAAGAGGATGTAATCCAGAGAGCTCAATGTAACACCAGAGCAAATATTATTTATTTAATTAAGAGACAACCTTAAGGCTCCATGACTATATTTTATTTTCCCAGAAAATATATTTTTCTTGGTTCATCAGGTCACATCTCTCTCTCTCTCATATATATATATATATAAAATGATATATAATTTTTTTATATATATCAAGAGCAATTTAGGGGAAAGAAGTATGACAAATTGGAAAAATATTCCTGTCATGCATTTTGTCCTTTAAGACTAAGTTTATATTTACATTGATGCAGCTATACATGTGCACAAATGGGAGCCACTGGGAATTTTAAATTTAAAAATAATTTTTCTCTCATGTGTTTTGCGTCTATAATCTAGCCAATTTCATTTAGATTCTTTTTTTAAACCACAATGAAAAAAAGAATGATTTAAAATCTTCATTCTCAATTACTGTTTGTAGTCTTGAAGACATTGTTGCTAGAATGTTTTTTCACTCTGACAGTATGAGTGTGCATTCTTTGAAATCTGCCTTGTTTGGTGGTCATTATTTTTCCTTTTTTACTTCAGGGCATTTCACAGGGGCTTAATTCAATTAAAATCCAATGACACCTAAGATCAATCAAGCACTTTTGCCCTTTATTTTTTATATTGCTTTTTTTTTCTGCAAACAGCTTTGGATCATTGTCATGCTGAAACACAGTTCATCTTCCAAATTGTTTGAATGAAAGTAACATTATACTTTATTTTTTCAATAATGTTCACCCCTGTACAATGCCCAAGGGTCACTCAAGGTAGAAGGTTACAGATTAAGAGGCACAGCGTATGGGGATATGTGGGGGGAAGATAAGAGTTTACCCTAGACTTGAACAGGTTAAGACTGTAGCAATCAGGAAGTCTTGAAAGTTGGTTTCACAAGCAATGATTCAGGGGAAGAATTTGCATGATCAGAACTTACATCTCACAAATGGAGTACAAAGGCAATGAGGGTGATTTGCTACAATGCATGGTAGTTCATTAGTCCAATGTACATAGTCATGAAGGTTACAACTAGTGGAACTAAGGAATGTAGTTCCTAGATGGGTGACCACTTGGGAACATCAGGTCTGTAAGCTTGGATGTGTGGGTAGTGTAATGGATAACAGCTGGAAATTGGAAATCAGAGAGCTGAGTTTCAATTCCAGTCAGGTTTATTATATTTACTTATGCTCAAATACACATGGGAAAGGTATGAATCCACCTCTTCTTCCCCCAGCTATGGGTTAATTAGTAGGACTTGTACCAGTAAATCATTATAATCTCAAAAACAATTCTTACAATCTAAAAATATTTTCTAGTTTTAAATAACCTACAAAAAAGTTGATAAGCCATAAAAAAAACCATATCAATCAAACTATCATTTCATCATCACCATTTAAACCCTGAGTTTTCTCCAGTCATAATTGTACTCTCAATGACACTACATACTTTGTATGTTTGTTGTCTGTAGTTCACTATTAAGCCCAAATGGTACTCATATAAACAACCCATTGCAGAAGATGCTGGAAAAATGGTTGGCTCATTCTATTGCTGCCATATATGTACTGCATCTGCTCTAACCTCACTTTCCAGCTTTGACAGAGTTCAAAATGTTTTACACCGTATTGTGGAAGGAGACTTATTCTCCACTCTGAATCCTCTTTTCCCACAGACACAATATTACTTTATCACTCTTTTCCATGGAAAAAATTCAGTAGAGATTCATTCTTTAATCCTTCCAGTTCATACCTTTACAACTAACACATACCATGACACATCCAATCACCCCTATTTACTCTGTATTCCAATTCTGAGCATAAAGATCCACCCATTTTTTTTCAAGAATTGCTACTTCATGGAACACTGTCCCACTTCTCTGAAAACTACAATCTTGCCTATTTACATTATTTGGACTGTTGCTCTCATCTTTATTGTCATATTTACAACCTTTTGGTCATTGTACACTCTGGCCTTCTCCTGAAGAAGGCCGGAGCATACAATGTCCAAAACATCAGGAATATGACAATGTAAGTATTGTAAATAGTTACAATACCTCATTTCAGAAATATAGACTGATGTGACCTCTTGAAGTCAAGGGTCAATCATTATTTATCCTCCTTATCCTCATATTCTTCACTTCTTACTGCCTCTTCTTTCATCTATATCCTACACCTCATTT